CAAAATACAGATCAGCTTCTTCTGATAATATTCCATGCCTAAAAGTGATGAAATGTGACACAAAATCCTAAACTTTGGGAGGAACACAACATGCTGACACTGAAAAGGCTGCATGTTTATCTATGTCTAATCTCAGAAGAAACGCCATTAGCGCATGTATTTCATCTGAAAAGCAGAAGAGTAGTCAGGGAGAGGAATTAACGTTACTATTTGAACCTTATCTGCATTTCCTGTGTTTTAAAACATGTCAGCACTGCAAACTGAATCTTTAGGAGACGCAGAAAGTCGAACACGTGTTTTAACGGTAATTTTTGGTTTTTATGAACTCGTCAGTTGACTACAGAAACCTAGGAAAACATTCCTTTCAGAGAGGTTGTATTTAATTATGATCCCATAAACTCATAAATAAAAGTAAAAGGTGAGCAAACAGCAGCAGTTCCTGCAAAACTGAAGGCTCAACCCTGAGGCTGTAACAGTCCTGCTGGACTCAGACACAGGGTAGATCTTACTGTCTGAACTGTCAGAGGGCTGGGAAGGAGAGACGAGGCCCGTTTCTGAAACAACAGAACTGAGCAAGAGCTTAGAGACAGAGTCCAGTGATTATAGTCAAACTCTTCAGCCTAAAACTGTAATTGAAAAAAAAAACCTGAAAATATTCTGTGATTTGCTCACTCGAAGATGAAGAAAACAATCCAAACTTGTCAAAAGAGAATGAGGAGGGGGAAAAAAACCAAGAAAAAAAAAGTCTTTCTCACATTAAGGAATAAACCAAACCAATCCCCTTAATTGTCCTACCTGGACCAACATGGCTCAAGCCATTCACTTCACATTTTATACATTTCATATAACTCTTTCTTATTTTGAGTTCGCAATCAAAAGAAAATGTAACTGAACACCTAACTGAATAATGATATTTGCTTAATAAGTCTAGAAAAACATAAAGAAGGTCATGAAAACCTCCTGAACTCACAATTTCCTCCTGACTCCCACTGTTTACCTATACAGCAGCATTTTTCAAGGGAGGGACTCACACTTGCAAAATCTATGGCAGGACAGATACTGGTCCTTATCTCGTGCATTGCAAGGCAAATTCAAACATGTACTGTCCATCCTTAGAATGACATATCTCTCGTTTAAAAACATGAAATTTCCGCTTCTGTGATTAAGATGCAATTTAGAACAGCCAAACCCAAGGATTTCTCCCTCCTTCCAATTTAACAACATCCCAAGAAAATGCTAAAAGGGGAGGAGCCAAATGCTTTGTGCAGCTTAAACCACAGAAATTCCCATTGCATAGGTGATAAATTACTGTAAGTGTGCACTTTAACTCGAAAAATATATCATGAACGGAGAGAAAATAAAATTAAAAAACACATCAGTGTTCATCTCTCCCCAAGAAGCAGCTACAGGAACTTTGTGGCTACCACTGAGTTTTTCTGAAATAACTTACAATATGACTATGATGGCCGTCACTAAAAGTCATCATTCATTAAAGCTCCACCGTTCTTGGGCAGAATAATAATAAAATAATAATTAGAAGTCTTGTTTGGGCTACTTATTGCAGAAAATGAATGAATCACCACAATAACAAAAATACGTAAGTACTGCTAAAAAACAGTCCTGTTTATGTTTGTGTGCTCCCCCCACCTTCCTCTGACTGAGAGGGCATGAAAAGAATCAAGCTTTTCCTAGCCAAAGCTTCGTTTCAGAAGTCTTACGGTTCTTCTTGAGCTACAACCTGCAGACGTTAAAGCCGGTACTCCCGGACCCTCCTGCTTCCTCCCCCAACACCACCCTCAGGAAGAGATCCAGAGACATTTGTCTTCCAAACTACGAACATCTGTCTCATCCCTCTTCGCGCAAGCCAGCAGCTTCTACTCAGAAGCGCAGAATTCCTTTAACCTTACCCTCTCTCCCCGCCTTGTATTTGTGTTTCCCCACGAGAGAGCTCCGCCACCACCGGCCCTCTCGTTCCCGTTAACCGCGGCCCCGGCCGCCGACATCCAAACAACGGGGCTGTCCCTCCAGCAGCACAACAACAGCCTGGCTGTGGCGGGATCTTATTCTTCCCCCTTCTCCTCTTCCTCCTGCTCCCGGTGAGGGCCCGGCGCGGTTCCCGCGCCCGGAGGGCCCGGCCCGCCCCCGGCCGCCATGCAGGGCCCAGCGCGGAGGGCCTGACCCGCACCCTGCCAAACCATGGGGAACCCCCCGCGCTGCCCGGCACCTCATTCTTTTTCCCCTTCCCCCTTCCCTCGCGGCTGCCCCCGGACCGGGAGAAGCCGCCCATGTCGCTCCGAGAAACCCTCCGGCCCTCCGCGATGCGGGAGCGGAGCGAGGGAGAGAGGGGAGAGGCGGCCCCGCTGCACTCACGCTCTCGTGGTCCCACCGCACGTTGCTGCGCTTCTCATCCGGGGCCAGGTTCCTGTCCCGGCCCATGAGCTCATCGAGGAGCTGGGCGGCCGATATCATCGTGTCGTCCTGGCCGAATCCCCCCTCGCCACACACCGACTCGGCCGCCTCGCCCCGATCGCCCGCGCCGCGCCTGACAGAGACAAAATGGCGGCGGCGCTCGCCCTGCCCACAATGCACCGCGCGGGCCGGGCCCTCACGGCCGCGGTTCGTGGCCCGGCCCCGGGAGCCGCGGGGTGAGCGGCGGCTGAGGGGCCTGAGGGGCGGGAGGGGGCGAACCCCCAAGAAACGGCGAAACAGGGAACAGCGACACTCGTGTGCGGCTCGATGTGAGGGACGGCGGGAGCCACACAGTGCCCAGCCCTGTGTGGTGTCATGGCAGACAGTGTCCTGCCCTGTGTGGTGTCATAGAATCACAAAAACAACTAGGTTGGAAAAGAACTCTGAGATCATCGAGTCCAATCTTTGACTTAACACCACTTTGCCTAATCGACCATGGCACAGACTGCCACATCCAGTCTCTTCTTGAACACCTCCATGGACGGTGACTCCACCACCTCCCTGGGCAGCCGGTTCCAATGCCCAGTCACTCCCTCTGTAAAGAACTTCTTCCTAATGTCCAACCTAAACCTCCCCTGGAGCAGCTTAAGACTGTGTCCAGCCCTGTGTGCTGTCCTGACACAGGGACACGGCCCAGGCACACAGTGCTTGGTGAGAGGCTGAGGACACAGCCCTGGGCACAGCTGGAGGGTTATCACAGTCCACTCTGTGCCCCAGCAGAACCAAGACCACTCCTGATGCACGGTTACTGACACCCAGAGTGCCTATGGCAGATGGTATTCCCCTTCCTGAGTGCCTCCAGCTATGGCTATTCCCTTAGGAATTCATAGAATCACAGAACAGTCTAGGTTGGAAAAGACCTGTAAGTTCATCAAGTCCAACTATCAACAGTACCATCACCACTAAACCATGTCCTCCAGTGCCACATCCACATGTTTTTTGAACATTACCAGGGGTGGTGACACCACCTCACTGGGCAGCCTGTTCCCATATTTGACACGTTGCAGGGTGTCCTTCATATTTAATGTAAATCTTTCTGTTTAACCTTGGAACCAGTTTTGGCCCCTTTTGTTGTTTTCCCTTTTTAGATGTGATTTTATGCCTCATATGTACTCAATTTCATATAGCAATTTTCAACTATTTTTCAATTTCTTAACATCGATTTGAACCACTTAAGTGCATGAAATTAATTAAATTTTAATTAAATAATATTTTTTAAGACCTTGAAGCCTGTATTCATGCAGATCCTGTAAAACCTACAGGACTCACAGCAGCCTTTTTCAGCATCACTGAGGGCTTCGTGCAAGCACCAGTGTTACCTGAGGAGTTACCTTTTGAAAATCCCTCCATAACACCTCCATTATGCAGCAGTGAGAGGTATCACTTTTTTCAAGCTTTGCAATTTTGTAATGATTGCACAACCCACTGGAACTGTTGGAAGAGTGTAATTGAAATCAACACCACACAACTGGCATGAATTTTCAGTCAATATCCCACAGTCTGGGTTTGGGGGCGGGAGGGAAGGCGGGTGTTTGTGTCAGAAATTGGGGCAGAACTGGGCTGTTTCAGCTTCTTTCTATTGCTCCGATTGCATTGAGAAAGCAAACAGGTACCCTGGAGCCCAACTGCTGCAGAGTTCCCTGGCGTGTCAGTGTGGCTGCACAGAGCAGGCTGGAATGGAAAAGTCTGACTGAAGTTCAAAATAATTATTTTGACTTTTAATAGTTGTGAAATTTTTACCAACTGTTCTGTAACTTGATTTAGGACATATCCACAACGACCAAACCCAGCTTTTCAAACCAAGCAATGCAAATGGCAGGACTTACCTATAATCTTTCCAACTGATTTGCAGGCAGCTGTAGATTTTTATTTTAATTTTGGGGGGCAGGGGCTTGGGGATTAATTGATTCTGCTGAGAATGCACAAAGATGGTGAGAATTTCCTAAGCAGAACAACAGGACGCTCCTGTGGAAGTGTCCATGGCCAGGTTGGACGGGGCTTGGAGCAACCTGGTCTAGTGAGAGGTGTCCTTGTCCATGCCAGGGGGTTGGGATGAGATGATCTTTAAGGTCCCTCCCAACCCAAGGTCCCTCCCAACCCAAATCCTCATAATCTTAAAAATCTCTTTAGTACCTCCTTTCATGGCAGTCAGCAGATAAAACCAATTTTTCCGAATCCCTCTATTTACCCTCTTTAGCAGCAGGCTAGTGCAGAACAGTGGCCATCATAACATTGTTTCCTTAACCTGGGTAAAACCACTGGATTAACTGAATCTTACTTAAATTACCAGAGATACTCAGTGAGCTAGAAATATATCCAATCCCTGAAAGTATTCAAAGCCAGGTTGGATGGGGCTTGGAGCAACCTGACCTAGTGGAAGGTGTCCCTGCCTATGGGGGGGGGGGGGAAAGGTGGAACGAGATGATCTTTAAGGTCCCTTCCAACTCAAACCATTCTACGATTCCACGACTCATTCTATTAACGTTAATCATTCTATTAACGATTACAGAGCGCGCAAGAACAACAAGCAGGGCAGGAGACACCCTCTATTGTGCATTTGTACGTTAAACAATACTAAATGACTGCGGGAGCGCCCCGTCCCGCCGGGCAGCGGCAGCGGCCGCGCCCCGCCCGCCCTGCGCTGCGCCGGAACCGGCTGTCGGGGCCGGGTTGTCACCGGCAATAGGTTCCCCCATCGCGGGGGTGTGGGCCGAGGGTCCCGGCGCCGGCGGGGATGCGGGAGGCGGGCGCGGAGCTGGCGGAGCGGGAGCGGCAGGAGCGGCTGCGGGAGGCGGCGGCGCTGGGGGACGCGGAGGAGGTGCGGCGGCTCGTGGAGCTGGGGGTCGGCCTCAACTCCCAGAACGAAGTCAACGGATGGTAAGGGCCGCCCTTCCCCGGGCCCCCCCGGCGCTCCCGCGGGTTCGCTCCTCACGTGAGGTGCCAGTTGAGAAGGAAATAAAAGGTCGATCCGCCGCGGAACACTCTGTGGAGCGATCCCTGTTCCGGAGGTGCGGCCGATAACCGGGGTCTCAAACAGGGGTCCCCATCCCACCTCCTGCGCCTTTCGCTGCTTCTCGGGGGCGCTGTGCACTTACTTTGTATTGATGGGTTTGGGTTTTTTCCTCCTTCTCCGGGTCACTGTGTACTTACTTTGTACTTATAGTGCTGGGTTAGATTTTTTTTTTTTTCCCCAGCCTGAGACAGCAGAGGCTGTCAGAACACAAACCTCGGCTTTACGTGTTCACGTCTCTCTAGAAATATTTATTATTGACTCTAAACCAAGTTTGAAAATGGCTTTCCCTTTCAAGCAGGGACCCTGCAGGCTGTTTCAGGGGATGTATACAAACGCTTTGGTTTTGACATCTCATTCACACCCACCTGAGGACACTAAAGCCAAGGCTGTTCTGTAATAGACACACAAACCACAGCAAAACAAAAAACCCAGAGTGGAAAAGGCTTTTTGGGGCCGGACTTTCAACTAAAACATTTTCTCCGTCTAAGTTTATTTATCTCTTTTAATTCTTAAAAAAATAAATAAACTTGGAGAAGGGTTGAGTGTGTTCATTTTTCTGAAGTTTCCTTCAGCTGGAGCTAAAGAATTAAAACATAAAAACTGAAGAAAGGTAAACACCTCTAGAAGCTGGGATAGGAAAGGATGGTCTGACTGTATAGCAAGTTACATGTGTGTGAGTCTAAGTCTCCAATACTAAGTTTAGTAGCTTTTAAATAAGTTTAGTAGCTTTTAAGATGTTTCCTTACTATGTCTCTCTAGTCAGTGACTGCAAATAATATTTAAAAAACATAGAAAAACATAGTTCTGTGCATCAGTTACAGATTGCAGAAAACTAGAGTTGTCTGCAGATCAAAGCTGGGGAATTGCTGGTGCAGCAAATAGCAACTGGGCAAAGAACTGTGCTGAGAAACTATAGAATATTTTAAGCATTATTTACTTGTCAAAAGTGCAAGTCCTTGCGCTGACAGCATTAATTAAAGAGTACAAATAGCATCCTAGGGAAGTATCCCTAATAGATTATGTATACATACACGGACAAGTATTTTAAGTACAGATGATTTTTTCAAAGATTAAGATAGCATGCACAAGATTTCTTTTTTATATTTAATTTTCCAGCAAAGTTTATAGCCTAAGAAAGGACAAATTGAAATGATCTTGAACTTTAAAAACACTGCTTTGGTAATTGGTATCAAGAGCATTAGAACGAGGGAAAATGACATCAGCAAGAGCCATTGCAGGCTCTGAATCCAGTGTACATTTCCAAGGAAGTTTGCAATTCAAACCTATTTTGCTGGACATGCATTAGGTCTTGTTCTTCTCACAGGCAGCAAGAATGAGTGGAAATGAATCTGCTTTGACACAGAGTTAATGTTTTCCACGTGCAGGACATGTTTGCACTGGGCCTGTAAGCGGAACCACGCGGCCGTGGTGGCTTATCTGCTGCACGCAGGAGCAGACAAGGACATCCTGACCAAGAAAGGAGAGAGGCCAGCCCAGTTAACATCCAAGAGAGAGATCAAGGAGATGCTGGGAGGTAACCTATCACTGTGCCACGTGACCATCAAAGACTAGTAAAGGGCTGTTTTAAGCATGTGTGCTCCAGTCTTTGTTTTGCATGCAAAGAGACTGTGTTTGGATTTCAGTACTAACTATACTTGATTTCTAGTGTTTACTTGGTAAGAAAACAAAGTTTAAGAAAAGAGGATTACCAACAAATTCCATACCCAGCTAGCCAAACTTTTTTCTAAACACTGACAAATTAGAAAAACTGTTATTTTGAAGAATGCCGTGCAGCAGACAGATACAGCTTCCTGTTTTTAAAAAGGCAATGGGAGAAAAAATCTCTCGAATTTGTAGGAAGTCCTTATATGATCAACACCTAATTTTCCTGATGTTCTGTGTTGAATAAATCGAAAATTAGCAGCTCATTAAAGGACATTGGTAGAGCATCTTTATCTTGTTTGTAACTGCTGGAGCAGAGTAGGATTTGCTGCTGGAGGTGATAAGTAATTTGAAATGTGGTCGATTAACAACCTCTCCCCTCCCCTTTGTACTCCCAGGTCTGGTTTTGTTTTCATTGTTGTCTCCCAGCTGTTGAATGGGTAATGCTGCAGCTCTCCCAGTACTGCATGTTCCCTTCCCTTTATCCCCTGCCTTAATATCGACCCTTTGTTTTTTGTTGCCTGATGCATTATGAAAATGACACCACCAGAGACTGTGTTACAACACACTGCTATGGATTTAAACAAACCAAAACAGAAGTACTGCCGCATTTAGAAGGAATTAGTACCCCTAGAATCACTAGAATCAGACTCAGCTTTTGTGTTCACTGTATGGCAACACCTGAGCACGGTTCTGTTTACTGTGGAAAAAAAAGGTGCAGGTCTTCCTGATACATTTTTTAACCTCTGATGCTTTTAACACTCCACTCCCTCCCTATAACAATAATAATAATAATAAAAAAGAAATAAAGCAGTGCAATAGCAATAATTCTTTTTTTCCCCCAAGATAAGTCTCGGAGAATGTTGTTTTGTTTGTTTTACAGTGGAAGACGATGAACTCCCGGACCTAAAGCAAGATTCAGACCTGCCAATCATCCCCAATTACCTGGCTAACCCACCTTTCCCTTATGTTTATAACACCACGGGTAGCAGCATTCCAGATCCCACTGTGAACGGGAATGTCTCCCATTCTGAGCCGCACGATGCCGACTCTCCGTCCGTGCCTGACGCGGAGCTTTACAGACGTGCGCCGTCACAGCACGGGAACGCTGCTCCCGAGGGGGCTCCCAATGGGGACATGCCACCCCTGCCCCGAGGGCCTGCTGGGCCACCACGCTCACATCCTGTCCTCCAGAGAACTCCTGTTTACCAGGGGCCGTTGTCGTGGAGCAGAGGCCCCCCTTCGCCGGCAGGATCCAACCAGTCCGTACCCCAGCAAGAGAACGGCTCCTGCGTGGGGCCTGTGCCAGCCTTCCAGCCTGTGTTCTTCACAGGAGCTTTTCCACTCAATATGCAAGGTAACAGCAAAAGTCTCCTCTCACTTCATCTGAGATCTTCTGTCACCTTGGGCAGTGCAGACTAATCAGGGTCACACATATTCACAGCACTTCCAGAGATTTTCAGGTTCCCGTGCTTAGACATTCATGAAATATTTGTAGAGAATGAAAGATGCAGGTATCCTGTTTCTGCTGGAACTGGTATTAAAATATTGATGAAAACATTTGCTGTTTGTCTCAATTGTCATAAAAGCATACAGGCCCCAGGGTAATCTAATTCTCTAAATAGCATAGTCCAGGCTGCAAATACAGAACGTGAGTATGCAGCTGGTGAGCTCAAGAGAACATCACATGGCTCAGTCTGCACCCAGGTCTTGAGCTGAATTGTTCTGGGATCTGCCAGTTCTGCAGGGAAGCTTTGCCTGCCTAGAGAGGGAAATCTGCAATTCCAGTTTCTGTTCAGAATTTAATGCTTGAAATAAAAGGTGTTCTGATGCCATGGGTTGGCAATTAGAATTGAACTGATGACCAAAAGAGTAAATAAAAGCAATCTTGGATTGCTCAGGAAACTGATAATCAGTATAATCTGCTGTTAAATTGGCTTAAATCCAGTAAGGTGAGTATTCATGCAAAGGCTCAGACATCCACACACACACTGCATTAGATTTGTAATGATTTTTTTCATATAGGTTGATGAAAGTCAATGTAATGAAAACTCTGCTCATACAATTCCAGTTTTTGCTTTCCAAGTATTCACATGTTGTTACAAGTGACACAAACAAGGTTAATAGAATACAGAAGTATTCAAAAGTTAGTCTATAATTTTGAATTCCTTTATACATCTGCCTATTAATATGCCTTTTTATTTCTAATAGAACTGGTGCTTAAAGTTAGAATACAAAACCCTAATCTTAGAGAAAATGACTTCATTGAAATTGAACTGGACAGACAAGAACTGACCTACAAGGAACTGCTCCGAGTGAGTTGCCATGAGCTGGGTGTGAACCCCGAGCACGTACAGAAGATCAGAAAATTACCAAATACAATGTTGAGAAAGGTAAGAACTCTACATTTTGAAGTGCATTAACTTATAAAAAACATTTTTAGATTACTGTTATAAAGGGATAATTTTTGGGTCACCTGCGTAGTCCTACATTGGAAAAAAAAAAACAAAATGAAAAACCTTCCTTTAACTTCCAACACTGAGCAGCTGTTTTGGTTTTCTGTTAAGTAAAAAGGTTCTCCAGTTTCTTTTCATAACCATTTGGTTAGGCTCACCTGATTTTGTGAGCTGCCATCAGCATTTAAAAGGCCTGCAGAACTCAGCCGAGCTCTTCAAGTTCATCAAGGCCTGGCTGGAGTCCTTGCACAAACAGAGAGATGTTTCAGAATTACTCAGTGCAGGTCTCTGAACGGAACTGTCCTTACTTCAATGGACGTTTACCCCTGCAGCAAACACAAAAGGCACCTGCTGACCTGTTTTACCAACTCACCACTGACCTCTCTTTCACTCTGAAATCCTTGCAGAGCATTGTTGGCGTCACTCGTGGGCCAAATCTGATTAGGAGTAATAGACTTCACCCTGCTGCATCTTCACTGACTATAGGATGACTTATTCTGTGTTAGTCAAGAAGTGGAGGGAAAAGCAAAAGACACAAGGAATTCTTTCACTTGCCAACTTCAGTTACTGTTGAAAAGAGTTTTTATATCCAGCTCTAATCACTTCAGGACACTTACTGTTCCTTGAGGTGACAAAACCCCAGTTCTGTGTCATGCTGTTGGCAGCAGAGCAGGGCTGTGGGGGGCCCAGAGCTGGCCTTAGTGGGCTGCTCTGGAGGAAGCTGCATGCAGGACCTTCTTTGGTAGATGCAAGTATCAATTCATGAGCTTCTAAGAATTATCAAGCAGGAAAAAAAGAGGAGTTGGGTGGCATGCAGTAGGTCTTGACAAGTGCAATTCCTCTAATCACTTGCACTCACCATCAGTGTTGCATTCCTTCTAAAAATAGACTTAAGTGAGTAGCTGAATAGGATCCCAAAATAAATATAAGATGCAACAGGATGTCTGCTTTCCAGCTTACTGTAAAGAATTGTCGTATTTATAGATACATGTGTTAGTATGAGATAGTTTTAACTTACCTCTGCAAAATTAACAGACAGTATCACCTAACTACTTATTTTATTTATTTAAAGGACAAAGATGTTGCAAGGCTACAGGATTTCCAAGAATTGGAGCTTGTTCTAACAGTAAGCGACAAAAACTTACTTTTCAGAGTCCCAACACTTTCTGAACGAAGTGGTTATAACAAGAAGGCATCAGAACTGACATACTAATTGTTCAAGGAATAAAACAAAATATTTGTATCTCTCATTTTAAAATTAAGTTTGAAATACAATATCTATAAGGGCTAATGATGTGAAAAAAATCTATTTTGTTAACCTGGAAATAAATTAAAGTGGTTATGCACAGTTACAGCTTCTAGTTAATCTAAGAGCAGTGAGTCTGATATGAAAGTAGCTCAATGCAAAGGAAGTATTGGCAGAACTATCTGTTAATGCGACACTTTTCCTTACAAAAAGATAATCTTCAAACACTGCAGAGTTAGCAGCTCTCAGGGAAAGGCTTACCTTAAGCTGTTCTAATAATTTGATTGCTATAAAATAGCAGAGGTACTCAAGCTAAAGAACCTGCCACGAAGCCCATTTAGTGTTTGTACTGAGTCCATTACCATTAATGTTCCCTTTTTAGATTGTGTATATTAAGTCATATCTTACTTAGAAGGAAAAAACCAGAAGGGTTTCAATGTGTGGAAGAAGCACAAAACTATGTCTCGTTTGAATACTATCAAGTGACTTATTACCTGTGATTTCTTAATCCCTGTTTACACTTTTCCCCATTTCTCAGGTTAAAAATAAAAGTGATAGTAATTATCCAAATAATAAATATGCTCTCAACCAAAATCCCTTTTATTGTTGTCTGTCAGTATATAGCATTGACATGTGCAATTTAAAATCCTATTCTTCTTACTGTATTGACATTTCTCCAATGCTGCTTTAATTTCCCCTTTTAAAAGCACAAAATTGTAATTTTATTTTCCTTTTGCCTCTGCATTCCTGAGAAAGATTGCATCTTGAACCTATAAAGTTGCCTGTGTGAAAAGAAACTAGTGAAGTGCCCAGTGATTTCTGGGCTGATATGAAATCTTCCTGTGTTCCTATGCAATGTATTTTATTTTTTTTCCCTATGACTTGTGTTTACCCATGTTGTTTACTGAAAAAAAAAAAAACAAACAAAACCACAGTTACTTAAAATTCAGAATTTGACTAATTTGCTGTGACATTCTGGAATAAAGAAATTGAAAAGTATTTAAGAGCTGGATTTTATCTGATTTTTTTTTTTTAGGATTTTAGTATTTAGTCTCTCCACTTGCATTTGATGAAGAGTTCTCTCGTAGCTTAAGTGAAAAGTGGGTGCTGTGGATTAGATGAGCAGACTAAAGTATGAGATGTAACAGGCAAACAGAACGCACCAAACTGGACTGAATTTTCCTGTTTCTTCGTCTTCCCCTTCCCCCCCTCCCGCAGTTTCTTTGGAAACTGCAGCAACCAAAGGAATTTATCTTTGTCTTGTCTAAGAGTTCAGAAGCTGTACAGTGTCTGTACCTGCCCGATAGCCGAGGTGTGCTGAGCTGGGAGCCTCCCAGACGAGCCGGGGGCAACGCCAAGGCCAGCGCTGCATCCGGAGCTCCGACTGCTCCAGGTGACTCCCCCTGACTGGGGCTGGGCACCAACCTCAGCCTCGGCCCCTTTCCCAGAGCACAGGAGAGCAGTGACCTGTATCACAGCCGATACCTGGGGAACTCACCCGCCCCGGGCCGTGCTCGCTGCTCTGTGCCAGGGAGCGGCTCCTGCAGCAGGGACTGAGCACACAAGAGGGAGCCCGCTCCCAGCCTGCCGTCCGCGGGATGGCCGCTGCTCACCCGCAGCACAGATCGGTGCAAACACCCCGATTTCCTCTGTGCCAGTTCACTCGGCTGACGTTCAGTCTCCTGAGGTGAATATAAAACATTTTGTCGCATCAAAACAGCCTCTTCTGCAAAAGTGCTGGAGGTCAAACAGCCCGAGGCATTGGCAAAATATGATTTTCATATCAGCTTTCTGGTGGAATATTAACTTCTGTAGAATGGAATAACAAAATCATCGTTCCTTGCATCACCCTGGCTGTTGCTTTCTCCCTGGCACACAGCACAGGATGGGTCAGGCATGGTCTGAGCACCAGCTGAATCCAGGAGGGTACCAGGGTTAAACCAGCCAGAGCCACCAGAGGAAAGCTCGGCTGTTGGGTCAAAGATTTTGCACAAATGCTGACCCCTATCTATGCATTCCCAGGAATATTTTTGTGTCTTATGCAGTTTATACACCGAAGACACTATTAGCACTCCTAACAATCCCATCAGTGTATAACCACTACATTCTGTGTGTGATAAATAATTCATTGCTTTGTCCTCTGCTATATGAAATGTTAATGCCTAATGAATGCTTGGCTGCAGATTCATGTTTCTATTTAAGAAGTATAATTTGTAAGGATTAATAAATTATTATTTTTGTCTTCCCAAAGTTTTTTCTGCGCTTGACTCCTGGTAAATTTTTTTCTTGCCAATGGGTTTGTGGAGTGCTTGGTGTAGGAAGAAAACAACTAAAGCAAAAGAGGTTCTAGCAGCAAATACTGTTTGAACAGAGGAATCCTTTCATCTGAGGAGGCCTGGTTATCAGTAATAAAATAGATATTTATTACTGTAAAACAAATCACACATTATTTCAGGTGATTAAGGAGTTGAACAAGATAAACTAAATACACACCAGCTCAGCATGCACGTTCAGCTAAAGTGGAGACTTACTCATGGTGACTCCATACCTAAGAGAGATACAGCAAAATTCTAGTACTTCTGTGCCAATCATGTCCCTGTAGGCTTGTGTGGAGCCTACTGAATTGGAAAAAATTGTGTGGTTAATGATTTATATGAAGCCATTTGTAGGTTTAGTTTTAAATACATGTTACTTCTTATGCTGAAGAGGAATTTTATAATGCTGAACTTGCCCTGGGCAGGCATCCCAAAGGTCCTGGGATAGCTCACAGCCTGGAAGCTGCAACATTCAACTCCCTTGCCCTGGGGAAATATTGAAAGGAATAGCTTGGAACCACTCAGAGGTTACACATCATTTCACTATTATTCAGCTGAGTCACGACTTAACTGGGCCTGTTTTCCACTTCAAACCCAATGAATCCTTATGCAGAAAACACACACACCAAGTGTATTTTGTACCATTAATATAATTTACTAATTACAAACTTGAATGCAGTACTTATTGCCCTGCAGTACATACATTTTCTTGGCAGAATGTTTGGCCTTCTTTGGGAAAAAAAAATCATATAATAAAATACTTTATGTATATAGAAAATATTTAAAAATATAAAATTCACTTTCTGGTCCTTGTAATTGTAAAATACTTTGTTCACATATCACAAGTTGAGTCTACTACAAAAACTGTTTTGTAAAATTACAGTACATTCACAAGTCACTTTTGTGGCAAGTCAGTAAGATTAAAAAACACCAAACCAAAACCCAAGAGGTCTTCTCTTCATGCCAGTCCAGCATCTTTGGCCATACTGTAGAAAATGCCCTTTGCTGCTATAAGGTTTAAAGGTGTGTCAAATTCAGCTATGGTTCCATTGTCTAGAACAAGAACCCTGTGAAAAACAAAATAGGAGGGAGGGGGAAGATGTGTCAGAGAATTCCTCGCAAGAAATGTGATACCTGTTTTTATCACAAAGCAAACTGCTCTAATCTTTACCTCACCTTTGTTTTCCTCAATTATTTTCACACAGATGATAAACATTCTCCCTGAGCTGCTGTTTGGCTAAAAAAGGTAGAGGGCAGTCACTATCTCCTGGGTCAATAAGAGGGGAAAAAGTGTCACGCTGGTAGTTCTGGAAAATACAGTTCCAGAGAGCCAAGGAGATAAAAGCTCATGAAGTATACTAATATATTTTCAAGTAATTAATATGACATGCTGTTAGTGAAAAAGTTACAGCAGCTGCTGGTTTAACAAGGCTGCATAAGCTTCCTGACAGTGCCAGGAGTGCAGCTGGGCAGTGTCACCTGCACAGCTCTGGTTACTGAATATAGAACCTGTTTCTTACGCCAACAGAGCCAAAGTCAGGACTGGATATTCTGGGATTATATGGCTTAGACATCGTTGCTTACATACTGCCCAGCAAGAGCATCAGTGTGCCTATCTAGGGACAAACCCGACCCCTTCAGGTGCTGCCTCACATCCCCAGCAAACCCACGACGCACCAGGAGAGACTGTACCTCGTGTAATCCATGATTGTGTTCAGCCTGTGTGCGATGGTCAGCACCGTGCAGTCCTCAAACTGGGTCCGGATTGTCATCTGGATGAGATCGTCCGTCTCCAGGTCGATGGCCGCCGTTGCCTCGTCCAGGATCAGGATCCTGGTCTTGCGCAGGAGGGCCCTGGCCAGGCACACGAGCTGCCTCTGGCCCACGCTGCAAACACACACAGGCTTTCACCAGCGAGGCCCCACAGCTCACAATCACCCGTGCTGGAGCAGGTCACCCACTGGGTGAAGTTACCCAAAAAACCCCCGAATGTTTAGCAAGCAGCCTCGCTAAATACACACAGGTTGCAGCATGCCAGCACTGACTGAGTGATGTGTTACTGCCTGACCCAGTGCTGGCAAAGCCACCAAATGTCCCTTTTATCATCATGACAAAAGCCAGGGCAACTAATGATGACAATGCTTCTGCCCAAGCTCTCAGAAACACTCACAGTTCTAACAACATTGTGAGTTGTTTAGAAAAAAAAAAAAAGAAAAATGCTAATAAAAAGGAAAAAAAAATGTTATGAGGCTGCAAATCCTTTCTACCATAAAAAAAATAAATATATGTATATATATGGGCAGCCAGACTTCCTCCTCTGCCAGAAACACAGCCTAGGCTTAGTCTTTGTCTGAGTGTCTGCAGGATGAGGAAGGAGCTGAACATTCATCACAGGCATAATCTGGTGACACCACAGCCTCGGAAGCCAATGAAGCATATCAAAACATGGCATTTTTATCATCCCCAGTCATGTCTTCATGGGTCTTCCAAATAATAAGGGAAAATAAACATTGCTAAAGTGTCAGGCAGAGGACTCTTATTCAGTACAACAGTTGTGTATGTTATCAGGGCATTTCCCTTCCTACCAAACTGTGTTAAAGGACTGCCTGTCCCTACTGTCTTGTCATCCTGAAACTTCTTTCTTTACTGATAAGATGGGATTTTAGTTTGGGAAAAATCCTTCCGGGAAGCAAAGAAGAATCAGATCGTTTGTGGCAGAGGCAGAACAGGAGGCAAATGTTTGAACCTTAGAGGCTTTCTTGGAAAAGGAATAGGGGGCTAAACCATTTCAGACACACCAGACCACAGTGTCAGCCTGTGCTCAGGTGTCCCACACTGCCACAGCTGAAGGAGAGCTCACTGTGTGTCCTAGTCCAAGCATTCCTTACCTAAGGTTCTCTCCACCTTCTGAGCACTCATAGTCCAGCATGGATGGCTGACTGCTGACAAACCTCTTCAAATGAGACAGTTCAAGGGCTTTCCATATTTCCTCATCCGAATACTTGTTAAATGGGTCCAGGTTCATCCTCAATGTTCCAGAAAAGAGAACAGGATCCTGGATATAAAGCCAGTTCTCATTAGACAAGTGCTTTAGCTGTCTTAATACTATGTTTTAGATACTATGAGTTACTTTTGAGGTCTCCATTGCATTGCAGGGAGGCCACCTCCTAACCCCATCCACTCTGACAATACATTACATTATGCACACTTCAAGTTCCAACTGTAAAGATGGTTTATCCTAAATCCTGTTTTATCACCCAGCATCAGCCTATAAGGTGGGGGAGACAGAACCACTTAAAGTATAAACAGTTTGTTTTTCTGAAACAATTTTCTAAGTGTAACAAAGCATTTTCCTCTGTGGATAAACCATTATTTACGGTTTGTTAAGCTGTTAGAGATCCTTCCTTTCCTGTGACACACAGAAACAGTACCTGAGGAATAATTGTTAGCCTCGATCGAAGGTCATGGAGACCAATTTCTGAAATTTTCACGCCATCAATTTTAATTTCCCCTTTTACAGCTTCCAGGATCCTAAAGAGACAGAGCGTCATGGAGGACTTCCCTGCTCCGGTTCTGCCAACAATTCCAATCTACAACAAATTGCAGGTTTAACAACAAAGCATATGGTTAAGAAGGAAACAACACCCAGCAAAAAACCCCCAAAACAACCCCCCAAGATTCCTT